CGAGTCAACAACATTTGGTGATTTGAATCAAGTTAACAAAGTCATGTGAAAACAAGATCTACATTTAAAAGAGAGACATATTTTGTGTGATTCGAATCAAGTACAATGTATGATTTGACTCACAAGGTCCATGATTCGAGTTAGGGCATGGTCATGATTCGACTCAAAGTTGGCAGTGGCTGGAGAAGGATCAGTGATTCGAATCAAGCACACTGTGATCTGACTCACAGTTGCATGATTCAAATCAGTTGTATGGTTTTTGTTCAACAAAAAATGACTAATTAACTAAAAGCATAATCTTTATAATCAAACTCAAACACTTTGAATTATGCATGCTAAAACATAGATAAAAAATGTGATCGTTAAAGGTGTGCAATTGGAGAAGAGACTCAAATTTAAAAATAAATTCAAACTAAAGCTTAAGAGACAAGTAATAAAACCACATATAGGTCTCCCTCTTAATGTATCAGAGACATGCAACTTCACATAGTCCAAAATTAAATATTTTATTAAGTAATAAGCCACTAAGGGGCTCATTCCAAGCTCTAGGAGCTTGTTTGAAACCATATATACCATTTTTAGTTTTAAAACATAGTCATGATTTTCATGGTCCTCAAAACCGAGAGGTTGAGAGACATAGACTTCTTTGTTTATAAAACCGCTAAGGAAGGTGAACTTAACATCCATCTGGTATAACTTAAGATCCACACAACATGTGAATTCCAAAAGGATACAAATTGCTTCGAGGCGAGCTACTTGAACATATGTGAGGAAAGGAAGAAAAAAAGGAAGAAAACAACTGCAAAACAAAGAGAGGCAAGAGGAACAATGATATAAGCAAATACTGAAGAACTTAATGAGCAGAAGAGGGAAATGTTACGTGAGGCTTGTATGCCGAAACAACTAAAGAAATTAATGAAGTGAAGAAACAAATTGAAGAAATAATGGATGAAGGTTGGCTAGGGTTGAGTTTCAACTCAAATTTTATGTAAAAACCTAAATTACCCTTTAATAATTTTAAATTTAAGGGATAATTTTGGTTTTTCAAAAAGGAAAGGGTAGAAAGCACAAACCACTTCATTCAGCTCGAAAAAAACTTTGTCCCCATTACACGTGAATTGCTCTATAGCAACCATGAATTTATTATGCCCCATTAAACCTCTTATAATCGTGGTCTCCCTCTGCTTTCCTACTATTGACTACTCTAACTCATTTTATGACAATTACTATTCTCCATTAATGTTCACCCTCCCTCGTTGAAGCATGATGGACAAACTTCATAATCATTATTTTTATATTTATTTAATAAAAGAGAATACATCAGACAAAAAATAAGTAGTGTATATGCAATATGTTAACAACATGTGTTTTCTTAGTTGCCACATCAGATTTTATGTGACTTGAAACATTTTATATGAAATGACAACACAATATTTTGCAATTGTGTTTTTAATAAATTATCATAAATAAATTATTTATATTATTTATATATTACCAAAGAATCGTGTATATTGAAATTAAAGTGACATTTAATGAAGATATACACGAATATAATAGATATATTGAGTGCACAAAGATTAAAATGTTAAATCTAAAATATTTTTAACTTTACTAATACATACATGTTTTCTCTTTATTTTTAGAAAATATTTTTTGACATCAAAAAAGAGATCGTCTAATTCATAATAGTGATATAGATCTTGCATTGTGCACCACTAGTATTTATTTACTTTTGAGTTAAGTAATTTTACTATATCTCTAGTAGACCTTTTACATAGGACTTTTACTCATTCCTAAGTAGTCAATTCTTGATAGCGACAGGGAGTTGTCGACCTCAATAGTTGAATAGTGAATAACAAGATGTCTTCTACTTTATTATTTTTAGACAAGTTACACGAATAATTATAAATACATATTTAATGTAAAACTTAACAAATAACTCAAAATCCATATAAGATTCATAAATCAAATTGCAAGGCTTACAAAGAAGAAAAAGAAATCGATGTGAATATAAGAAAAACATAAAAGAAAAAGAAAAAAGGAAGAAAGAAAAAGAAATTGGGAATGACCATGGATGCAGAGAAAGAAACAAAGAAAAAGAAATAACCAATGTGAACAAAATGTGAATAAAAGCAAGAAAAAGAAAAAAAACTTGAAGAAGAAAGAAATTATGGATGCAAAAGGAAGAAAAAAGGGATGAAAGGAAGACAAAAAATAGAGGAATGATGGCGACTACAAAACAAAGAGTGGAAAGACGAACAATGGAAGAAGCTATTTCTGAAGAACATAATGCACATAGGAGGTAAATGTTATGTGTGGTTTGTACTCTTGAACAATTAAAGAAAGAAATGAAGTGAAGAAATGAGTTGAAAAAACAATGGATAAAGGTAATCTAGGATTGAGTCTTAACCTAAATTTGATGGAAAAATCTAAATTACCCTCAAAACATTTTAAATATAAGGGATAATTTCGATTTTTCAGAGAGGAAAAGGATGGTGTTTTGTGGAATCAAAATTGGTATGTATCAATGAGGGGATCCTAGATTGGTTGTACTGATTTCTGATACGTAAGTGCATGACAGATTTGCAATGTTAGCACTCTAACATCGAAGTCGGTTCCGATTTCTAAATGTGTGTGGTAAGAAATATAGATTGGAAAAGTGTACATTGGATCTCATGTGAGCTAGATTTTATATGTTGGGTTATTTGGATTGGACTTGCATCGGGTTGGGTCTTAGCTTTGGGTCTTTGGCCGATTTAGAACAATTGACCCCAAGGCTTGTCGGACAAAGATTATATGGGTAAGTCTTTGAAGTCATGGTCGGTCTTCCCGAATGATATTTTCTCTTGGATAGAAGTGAAAACACTTGTATTAGTTGTAAAAGTAGTGGAGAACATACACATGATTTTTCATCATAGATACGTTTCACTACTCCTTTTGAGCGTGTGGCTCTTAGAGTACATGTTAGGGCATGATTTTCCCTATAGCGCCTGTGATTTTATTCTGCGTCGCTGGATCTATTATCATTGTGGTCTCCCTCTGATTTACTTCTATTGACTACTCTGATTCATTCCATCATAATTACTATCTCCATTGATGTTCGCCCTCCCTCGACAAAATATGATGGGCAAACTTCATAATCATTATTTTCTAGTTGATTTAATGAATTTTTTTCTAATTGATTTAATGAAAGAGAAGACGTCCGACAAAAAATAAATAATATATAGATAACATTTTAAGTAGATGTGTTTTCTAAACGGTCACATCAGATGTTATGTCACTTAAAATATTTTATATGAGATGACAACGCAATATTTTACAACTCTATTTTAATAAATTATCATAAATAAATTATTTATATTTATTACATATTACCAAAGAACATTATATATAAAAATTAAAAGGACGTACAAGTAAGATATACAAAAAAATAATAGGTTTTATTTGGAGCACAAAGATGAAAATGTTAAATCTACATGATTTCTAACTTTACAAATACATCTAATTTTTTCTTCACTTTAAAAAATATATATTTTTGTATAAACAAAATCATCCGAGCTATCTATTTTAATGGTTGAATATTTCATCTATCTCATAGTCTCATTTTGTAATTTTTTTTTTTTTTTTTTAAAACAATTGTTCATTTACAATTTCAATGTATGATTTATTATTATTTTTCTATTACTATATTCTTATATATTAACTTTCATTTTATTCAACCACAATTAATAGGATTATTCTAGTAAGTAATGTTAATTTTTTCATTAAAACTAACACATCTAATTGTTTTTCTTAAGAACCGCGCATTGTTCAAATAAAACACTTATTATGAAACAGAAGAAATATTGAATAGCAAGATATCAGCTATTATATTATTTTAAAACAAATTACATGCATATTTAATGTAAAACTAACCAAATCACTTAAAATCAAATTACAAGCTACATAGAAAAAAAAGAAAGAGGATTGATGTGAATACAAGAAAAAATAGAAGAAAAAGAAGAAATTGAAAACAACCATAGTGCAAAGAAAGAAAAAAAGATGAAAACGAAAGAACCAACATAAAGAAAATGTGAATAAAAGAAAAAGAGAAGAAAAAGAAATTACCAACTTGAAGAAGAAAGAAACAAGAAACGATGGAGGTAGAAGGATGAAAAGAGGGGAAAAGAAGAAAAAAAAAAGTGAAGAACGTTGGCAACCACCACAAAATGAAGAGTAGCAGAAGGAACAATGGCGGATGCAACTACTAAAGAACATAATGCACAACAGAGGAAAATGTTACGTGTGGTTTGTACGTCGGAACAGTCGAAGAAAGAAGAAAAAACAATAGTACAATAGATGAAGGTAGGTTAGGGTTGAATCTCAACTCGTAAAAACCTAAATTACCAATAACATTTTAAAATTAAGGGATAATTTCAGTTTTTCATGAAGGAAAAGGATAGCAGCAACTACTTTGTCCCCGCGACCCGTGATTTGCCCTATAACGGTCAGAATTTGATTATGCACCGCTAGACCTCTTGTCATCGCGGTCACCCTTTGCTTTGCTACTATTTACAACTCATTCCATCACAATTGCTATTCTTCATTGATGTTCACCCTTTCTCGATGAAATATGATGGGCAAACTTCATAATCATTGTTTTCCGATTGATTTTAATGAAAAAGAACACGGCAGAATATTTTGCATAAAATAAATTCAATAATTTAAGCTATCATTATTAATCTTATCCTAATCAATGAAAGTTTCCAATGAGTAACCATCCACAATCACCTGTTCATTTATGATCGTATAGTGTTCCTCAAAGGTGATCAAAAAAGAAAGAAAAATTACTACACAAAAGCAAGCATTACATTATAAATACAACCAAACCTGAACCTCACTATGAAATACCTTTCCTAAATTATTTTTTCATAAGGTAAAAAGAGGGGCTATATATGCTTCCATGTCCAAAAAGTAAAATCTATCTATTCTTTTCAATAAGGATTCTTCTTCACCGGTTGCTATGAGAAACTGTCTGCAGGAGAGGGAAAGAATAAATTAATAGTCATGAGTAAGAATACAGAACTAATGAAAATTATCTCTATCCAAACCAGTAGAAAGAAACAAAAAGGACACATAATCTTTAATACTTATCAACTACTGTAATATTCAATTGTTTTTTACATTGCACAATTAGTCAAGGTTATATTCAGAGAGATACTACAGGCACAAACATTAGCTAAATGAAACTATTCTTTCAAAATAAAATCATAGTATACATGAAAAACAATATGTATCATTATATGACATTTTAAAAACTGGAGCACATACACCATGTTAGTGTTTATGGAGGGTAATGCAAGAGCTGTCTAAGGAACAAACAACAAATTGCCTCATTAAAGTTGTGCTCAGTTAATTCTAGTTCCATAGGAGAAATCTTATAGCTAATTTTCAATGAACTGAAGAAATTTTTGACCATATGCTACTAAGCTTACACGGCATTCCATTTCACATACAAACAAACAGAGATTGTTAGCACCAAGTTTGAGACCTCTTTCGAATGTGAGACCTTGAGAGGAGCACGCTCTCAGGTCCCAAGTCTTCACCAATAGGCCAACCCCTTATTTATTTGCTTTGAGCTTTTGAGGGTCTGAAACTAGATTTTATAGAGGCAAGAAAATCTAAAGCAAACATAAAAATAAAATAAAAATCTATAATAAATATTATGAGGTTAGGTGTGCAAGCCAAATAAACCTAAATATGTCAAAATGTATGTGAAAATAATATTCTGTAAGCAGACAAAAACAAGTAACATAGGAGAAGTCAATCTTGGAACTAGTCAGATCCAAGTGTAAAGCACATATATTAAGTGGAGCCACGAGAACCTCAGCAAACAACTTTTCTTAAGAATAATGCATATAGTGGGGAACAAACATGCAGGTTTCTTAAGGGAGAATTAGAGAAGACAAGAAAAATTCTTTCCATCAGAATCCCAAAGATAGTATACATATAGAAAAGACTTCAAATTAGTTCTTTTTATTAAAGATTGTGTATTCTAAATCAATTCATGAAAGTTAACTTCATCATGATACAAAACACCAAAAACATGACCTTGTGAGTTCTCATACAGTTTCTTCTATTAGTAGCATAAACAACATATAACCAATCCAGATATATTTTCCCACTATGCAAATTATAACTTTTTCATAATTCAGGAACAAAACAACTACATATCAGTTACCATTATCACAAGTAACATAAGCCAATAAATATTCACATTCAGCATAAGCAATCATAGAAATAAAATCATCACCATGAACTCAACAGAAAAAGCTCACCAACACCAGGAGAACAACGCTTGCTGCGCTTGATTTTCTGAATCTGAATCTGCGTTTCCATGATTAACTGCATCCTTTGGAACTCTAACTCCTTTGCAAATTTCATCCTCTGCATTTCCAATTCCACCATTTGTCTCTGTTTGGAGACTTCAACTCTTTCGTATACTTCACCAAACCTCTCTATCGCCTGAGCAAGATGTTTGTACCCACACTCCATATTGCTATCACTCTCTCTTCCCCTCTTCCCACTCTTTGTTCGGCAATTCGACTTCCAGTCCTCAATCTCCTCACTTTCTGCCTCGGCCACTGCCGCTGCCGCAGTTGCAAAGGCTGAGAAATTCCGTCGGAAAGATGTGTCGTCTCTGTTCATCTGCGCCGGACGTTTTTGCGTCCCTGATCGGGGACCAACCGGATGAGAGATTATCCACGCCGGAAGAGGCGGCAGAGATTTGACGACGGCGTTGGTGGTTCGTTCGCTGGCCGGCGGCGAGTGTTTCTTTACCGGAAAAGTGTTTCCGATGAGGATGTCGAGGCTGGAGAAGAATGGCCAAGGACTCTGGTAACCGCTGTCGGATTCGGAAACCCTAGCTTTCTCGATCTTATACTTCTTTTTAAGCGTGTCGATTCGGTTTTTGCACTGAACGTCGGTCCGACGAGCTTTCCTGTTGTTGTTACCGGCGGCGTGGAGGTCGTTGACGGCGTCGGCAACCTCTTGCCAGTGCTTCTGGCGGAGGTTACCACGGTTTAGGTCTAAGTAGCGTTCACCCCATGCGTCGATGAGAGTGAAAGTAGCGTCTTCGCTCCAGCAGTCATCCCGGCCGGGAAACGGCGATGTCGACGGAGGTCGCGGTGGGGCGGTGTTGAGGGGAGACGGAACTCCGGAGATGGAGTCCATAACAAGCGGTTGAGTTGGGAAAATCGGTGGAGAGTTCTGAACGGTCGGCAGACTGCAACGGAGGCTGAGCAAATATTCACGGCGAGAGTCCTGTGCCTGTGCGGGGAAAACTCTTTCAATTTTGTTGTGTTTATTTATTATTATTATTTATTATTATTATTATTATTATTTTATTATTATTATTATTATTATTATTATTATTATTATTATTATTATTTACGTATTTTAGAGTGTTTGGTTTCAAGGCCCATGGGCCCAATTCAATTTTTCTTTATCCAATTTGAGTGGGTTTTTATTAAAAAAAATGCTGAAGTCGAACGCGTTTTGCACTTTCATTTTTCACTTTTTAAGAAAATTGTTTATTGCATCTTACGTGTCACTCACTTTACTAAAAATTTGAAAATATTTCTTTCATACCGTTCGGAGCTTGAAATCCGAATGCACTACAACACTACAAACTCAATATCAAATTCACGTCTAATGCAAGTAAAAAATATATCTAAATTACAAAATTCGGACGCACCATACAGATATTGAAATTCGGGCGCTATTATTTAACTTGCGCGAATAGTCTTTCCCTCTTCCTTCCCTTACATTTCAAATTTAAAAAAATAACTCTCTCAACAACATAAGTGCTCTCATAAAATTGGATTCAATATTTTCTCTCAATATCTACTCATGTTCATTCAAACAAGACAATTTCGTCAACATCTACTCCTCTCCTTTTGAGAAAAGGAGCATCATCTCTCATATTTGATAATTTTCTCATTCATTCTTGCTTATTTTGCTTTTGATACATGCAATGCAATTTCTTAAATGATTATAGTTAAACTTTATTAGGTTGCATCCAATAGAAACAACTTAAGCTACATTAGGTTACCTCCTTTGTTTGAATCACTCTACATTTGGGTTTTAGGGTGCATGTTGGGGTTTCTCGCTGATACGAGAAAATCTGAATTTTAAAATTTGAATCCTAATATGGATAACAAAATTCATATATGTATGCTTGTTTTTTTTTTGTCATTCTGTTTATGTTTGAAATTCTGGTACAACAAAATCTGATGTCCTACAAGGATGTCGAGACGTCTGATCTGACATAAATACACAGGCAAGATAAAACAGTGATGAAATAAAGAACACACCGAAATTATTTACCTAGTTCAGTGTACAACAACACCTACTCTGGGGACTACCAAGCTAGGAATGAAGTTCACTATCAGCAGTATCAATTTATAGACCCTCAGTAAATAACCAATTTACGACCTATGCACTTAATCACTACCCAATGACCCTTTTACCTAGGTCCTCCCTAGATATGGAATATTCATATCCCACTTCCAATCATCACAATGATGTCTAGCAGTCAACACCTCAGTCACTGCATCGTCGGACCTTCACTAAGATTATGATCACACAAATAGACAGTTTGGAAGACACACTTCCATGACAACCTAGCTAAGTCTCCAAGCCAAACTCCACAGTTTGTTAGCTCTGCTCCTAACTAAGAACATATCTTGGAGTTGCTTCAAAGCTTCCTCCAAGAACAATGCACCTCTTACATATAGGCTTCGAGGTGAACTTGGTAACCTTCCCACAACCCAGGAGGTTTACCTTGACAAAATCCTGGACTTCTACATCTTAAGCCGTGTCTTTTCTAGGTTACAAACCCTTCTATTTATAACCTATTACCCAACTGGTTTTAGGCCTTCAATCACAACAAATCAGCTGTAACAAACTGCAGAAACTTCTTCCCCAAGAAAGGTCTTCAATCTCTACTTTCTTAAATACTCTCCTTATTTAGAAAGTCTTCATTCTCCTTGATTTTTGATTGAATTTTCTGGACCTTTAAATATGCGCCACATAGGATGCATAACATTCTCCTGAATATTTTGCCTATATTGAGAACAAATTGAATCTCATTAATCCAGCTCAGCAGGCGCGATGTCAAGACATCTTCTTCAACATGTTATTCAAGTTGTTGAAAAATTTCAACACAACATGTTCTGACATTGTAATAGGACTTCTTGTTGTACCTGTTCTTCTTATCCTGTTCTTCATTACATTATTGCTGCTATTATTTGTTTTACAAAAATTAAGCCAATCCTAAAACAAGAGAACTAATAATCTCCCCATTTGGCAAATTTTGGCTAAAAAAAATAATCTAAAAACAATTTCAATATAGGAGATTACAGCAATACAGAAATATAACGTCTCAACAATAGATCTTCAGTTGAAAATAATGTCTCAACATCTTGTTCAATAACTTCTTTGCAGCACTCTGAAGAACTCAATTACATCAGCACCAACTAACATCAGCATCAGCTTCAGGATAAAAGGAAGGAAAGTCCTGAAGTCTGGTTAATGCACACGAGGAAGAAGATAACAGAAGACAACTTGTACTCCCCACCAATGCAGGAACATCTTCTAAACATAGGAGACCAGTGGTGGAATAAGAGAACTCTCAATAACTCCTTAAGACCAAATCAACCACCGCCCCTGATAACTCAGAACACAGGTCACAACTGTGTGCATAACTCAGATCACAGGTCACAAACATATGTCACAGAAATAGGGTCAAACATCTTATTTTGACATCTATGAACATTAATAATAACCACTTGTGGAAGCTGCAACATCTGAGCTAATTCACCTTTCTCCCCCTTTATAGCCAAAACTTGGCAAAGGATACCTTCATAATACCATACCCAAGCACAGCTTACCCAAACTCGAATAAAAGCCATGAGAACTATGGACTCAAGAAGCTCACGGGGTTACAGAGAAATGGAGCTCTCTCTATAAATAACTGGGACTTTTACTTGGAAAATAACGATCCTAGATTGTAGCACCAATCTCGGTCAAAAGGAAACGATATTTGGGGAGAAAACTTCAAGTATCAATGTGCACCGTCTATAATGACTTTGAATGCTATAGCTACTCCCTATATATACACATGCATAGTCAGACAAATTTTTCTCCTCCTGTTTACTGCTACGTGTTTGAACACATAGGCCACTCCACCCTATGTTGATCATGCAGGAACATGTCATGTATAATGTCCTGACACTTAGTCAGACATTGTCTTCTTATTTCAGTGATCAACACATCTTCTGCCACCAATCAGGGATGCTTCACCAGATTATCCACCTGTTCATACTGGATTCTAAGTGTTCTTCTTTCACTTAGACTTAGTGACATATACTAAGATATCAAAATATCACATTTGTGACACCTCTTCATAATATAGACCCTCAAGGAGTCTTATTGAAATCTATAGAAGAATAAATTCTCCCAGACTTCCCATTAAACTTCTAAGAGATGTGTGATCTTCTGATCTTCACCGGGCTTTTCATAGTTAGAAACCACCATGTCTTGTTAAGTTTATCCATAACTTCACAATGTCACAACATGTTGTTTCGACATCATTTCCTCATAGAACCTTTACAAAAGTGAACAGTATTCTGGCATGATAATACTTGTATCATTGCAGCAACAATTTACAGATATCCGCATGACTCCCTTTGTCATGAGTAACTAATGCTCCAGCTGAAGATGGAGACTTGAGCACTAGATGAAAAAAAACTTCAGCACTTCCCGCATATGCTAAACCTTGACTCCCTCAGTAGAGTCAAACCAGAGACAAATATTCTCACTCCTTGAGAATACTTCTAGGAACCCTGACTTCTTCACAACACAAGGACACATTCGACCATTGTCTTTTCATAACCACACTTTGTATTATGATCTTTTGAATAAGCAAGATATCGTGCATACTAGGTGTGAAGTCACTCACAAACTCCAAAAACTCTTAGTTTGCTGAAAAGATTTAATAATATCTAGATCACCAAACCTTTCCTGGAGTGACTTGCAGCAAAAAATACAACTTCAAGATGCTCTGCTCAGACCTCAATATCTGTCAGTAGCCTTCTGCCATTATATCCACTAGTAGTTGTTGATACTAGTGGAGTCTTCAACAAGGTAGTAATGGATTCATCAAGCATGTTACTGTAGATAGGATTAGACTCTCCATATTCTAAACCACATAGTCAGAAATTCCACTTCTCACAATAATGCTTAAGCATCCAACTTCACATGAACAATCCCAAGTATTAAACAAAATAACCATCAACAATTATGATGTTAAAACATCATGTGGTACATCAACTCCATAATACAGAACCTAATCAAACTAGTTCTTGATTAATTATTTAAAGGACTCATTATGCATAGAAATCCTTTAAGAAGCTCCCATTAGAACACACAGTTGATGCACATGTTCTTGCATGCTTTACAGTCTAGTTTGTAGTAATGGTTTTGCGCACCTGATTATTAGTCACTTCCAACTCACAGTAATCATTTTCAGACCTGCCCAGATAGCTATTTGTGACAGCAAGGGAAAAATCAACAAAAACACCTTCCTATATTCCTTACTTCTGTGATCAGCATAAACCAACAAAAGAAATCAGCTCCATAATCTCTTTGCACTCCAGTGCACCTGCTCCCAATTCTCTTTCAAGGGCAATTCTTCTTTGAAACACATATTTCCAATTTTCAGCATTGCCAATAGAATGGAAGGAAATGTTATCAAGAGGAGCATCAGACACCCTAACAGAAAACTTCTTACTTGCAGACTTCTTCAAAGGAGAGATGTCCTGGACATCATCCTCGACATCATAACCAGAGTCAACATCTTCTAACAACCAGCAGGATAGTCTTCTTTATCCCATTCACTACTGCAGAGAAAAATAAATTCTCGTAGAACCATTATATCCTCTTGGAGAAGGATGGTATACTTTAGCAACATTTGGCTAGAGTCTTTAGAGACTCATAAACAACTACATCTTGTAGCAACATATCTCAGCATGTTATCCAACATCATCCTCTTAGAAGGGCAATAACTCTATACGCTTGAACATCACAAGCTCCAAACAAACTAATTAGTCCACTAACTCATCCTGTCATGGACAATCAAAAATTTCATTATAGAGAAAACACAACACTAA